AGATTTCCCGCACAGATATCAACAGCTACTCGTACGAGGTAAGTTACCTTCCAGTAGCGGTAGGTCTACGACCACAATGCCGACCCACTAGTAGGAGTTGTATGTTAGATGATTGTCGTTGTGATATTCATCTAGGTTTGCTGCTACCTGTTATGTTTTATGAGCTCGCATGTTATGATGTTATGTGATAGTGGTAGCAGGGAGGTGAAATAGTCCCCTGTTACCAGTCGATAGGACTGAAGGGGTAGTTTAGTACCCAACCATGCTAGCCAGATTATGATATATGTGATATGATATTATGTGGTAGTAGTAGGGGTGAAATAGTCCCCGGTTACCGGTCGACAGGACCAAAAGGGTAGGCCAACACCCATATATGCTAGGCAGTATTCGGTCGACAGGACCGAAAGGGGTAGGCCAATACCCAGATATGTTAGGCAGTATCCGGTCGACAAGACCGAAGGGGAGGCCAGCACCCATATATGTAGGAATTATCCGGTCGACAAGACCGATGGGGTAGGTCGGGCACCCATATATGCCAGACATTATATGGTATGTGGTACGATGGAGGAACTCACTAAGCTTCGTGCTTACAGTTTACAGTTTTGGTTTTAGGTATCTCTTCAGCGAAGGGGAAGGAGTTGGCGCGGTAGCAGCACATCATACACACACACACATTGGTTTTCCGCACTTGAGATATTCTGGGATTGTACTCTAACATGTTACTATTTTATGATTTGGGTTTTCATACATGATATATTGATTTACGAAATGATATGTTTTTACATGAATGTTTTTATAATCAGTTAATTAAAATGAAATTTTTGGACTTGAAATTTGGGACGTTACAAAACCATTTGAAGAAAAATCATTTTAAAATATTGTCCTTAGTTTGAGACTGGATACACACAAGTGTTTCCTCCAATTCCCTCAAACTAAGGATCTGATACCAACTTGTAACATCCATAAAATTCAAGTCAATTTAAAATTTTTTAAATCATTCAAAAACCAATAGTTATTACAAATTTGTTTTTAAAATGGTTTCATGTCTGAGTATCCTAAAATCAAATCATAAAAATATAAGAAGTTGTACGATCATGCCTTCGCCTTCCCGCGGTCATCAGAAGTACCTGAAACATAATCAACAATTGTAAGTCCGAAGCTTAGTGAGTTCCCCCATACCAACGCCATAAAAATATAACCATATCATAACAAACAACATGCATGATGAGCCATCAACATGAATGAACCGCCTCACAGGGCCATTGGTCTATCTGAACCACTCTCCGAGTCATTGACACGTCTGGACAAACTCTTAGGGCCTTCAGCCTATTCGGACCGCTCACCAGGTCTTCGACTTGACTAGTATGCCCTAACCGGGTCTGCAGTCTATTCGGTTCGCCCTGGGTATGTTGGCCAAGAGCACAAAGCATGACCGCCTCTACCTAACCCCCAATCAAACAATCATGTGCACATAAATATCATATGCTAGCATATATAATAGTCAAACCGATCACTAATTATAGCATCATCCTATATACCAGGATACCGACCTAACAGGTCACTAACATAACATCGTATAGGATACTGACCTAACAAGTCACTAACATAACATCATCCTATATACCAGGATACCAATATAACAGGTCACTAACATATCAACATGCAATCAACCTGGATACAAAACCGAAAAGGACCAACATTAGTGCCTTCGACCCTGTTAGTATAGTGAGGACAACTTACCTTACAATATCGATCGAAACAGAACTGTCAAACTCTCGAGACACGACTCCAAACACCAACACTTACAACCACCAATGATCCACTTCCATAAATACCCAATTTACCAAAATACCCTCAAAAGTCAATTGGTCAGCCTTTAGTCAAATTCAGAGTCACTGGTCAAGGTCAACAGTCCATGTTGACCCAAGTCATCGAGTGTAGCTCACCAACTCGTTGAGTTCCTTCAGAACTCAAGAAATCGTAAAAACCCTGGTCGACTCGCCGTGTTTCCAGACAACTTTTCGAGTCCATGCAGTGTTCAGAATGTTGGGAAAACCCTAACAAACTTGTCGAGTTACCTCTCTAACTCACCGAGTTCATGTAGAATCCAGAAGATGGGAAAACCCATCTCAACTCGTCGAGTTGGCTATCCAAGTCATTGAGTTCCTTCAATCCATTTCTCATGCGGATGCTTTTACGTGAAACCAAAGCTCCAAACTACAAATCTAGGCTCCTAGGGTATGGTTTCAACGTAAAGTTGCAAACTTTACGTGCATGAAAGGCTCCATGAAGCTAAAGCACTCATAACTAGTCTTAGAAGAAGGTTTTGGACATGGAGGACGGTCAAAGCTTCATAAATCTTGAGGCTTTACGTCCATAAGGGCCTATAGGAGTCCATATTTGAAACTATGCCCTTATGACAAGCTCAAATCCGAAAGGGACCCCATTTTGTACCAAAATGCAAATATTCTCACATAAGAAGAGATATAACAAACGGAAGGTCAAGGTAAGGACTTTTTACCTTCAAATGCAAGCCAATATGATATAGATACTGGATCTACAAGCTTCCCGTCTTAATCTTCAAGTTTCTTCAACAAATGCACAAAAAACACACTTTAGCCTCTCACACACTTAAGAATAGGGTTTAGATTGATTAGGGTTGCTTCTGGCCATCAAAAGGTGGTAAGGAGGTTGGAGGAAAGGACTTAATGATGGGTTTTACACACAAGAACTTTCCTATGTGCTCATGCAAACCCTAATGCTTGGATTTAGGTTTCTTTATTGTACATGCATTTTATCCAAGACTTACAAACCCTAATATAGCATACATATATTGAAAATATCAAGATATATCAGATCTGGATGTTTACCTCTTGAACAATCTTGGATCTTCTTCTTCTTGGAGCTTAGAGTCACAAGTGTAACTCCTCTAACGACTTACAAACACCACACAAGAAAGAAGGCAATTATGAGAGAGGGAAGAGATGCTAAAATCGGCCCTAGGGTTTCCTTTGGAATCAAGTGGCCGAAAATTGCATGTAAGGGTCTATATTTATACTATAGCCTGCTAGGGTTTCAGTCAAAACCCTAATGGACAGCTTAATCACCAAGCAACCCATGGAACATTCTGGAATAAGGCCTATGGACGAAATTATGATGGACTTTCATCATAATTTCTTTCACCCTTTAATCCATTAGGTTTCCCCTAGCCCAAAAACCAACTATCACACATTGGACAGTTTAAGTCCCTATATTTAATTAATCTCTTTTAGCCACCAAATTAATTCCTAATTAATTTATGACTAATATTAATTAAATAATATGATTTCCCTTGTAATATATTAATCATATAATATATTAATAAATCATAAGATCCACTCTCTCTATCTCTCTCCATAAATTACCCTGTCAAGTTGCTTTGGTGAAGGCAACCCAAAAGGACCATGCACAACCGGGTCAAGGACATACGAAATATAGTTTCGGGCTTAGACACTAATCCAACACTTAAGGTCCTTTAAATAGGGTGAAAACCCTAAAAAGTAGGGTTTCCATGCACAACCTTTACTCGTCGAGTTGAGGTCCTTCAACTCGTCGAGTAGAAGTCATAAATCACGCGGGCTGACTAGGTTCGACATGACGAGTTGGGGCCTCCAATTTGTCGAGTCCCCTCAATAAAATGAATACAAAACTTTTATAAAAATTATACATGGGAGTCAGGATGTTACACCCATCGTCAGTTATAAATAACACTTTGAATAAAAAAACCACAAGTTCAGTGACGCTTACAACTAAACACCGAATGAACACAAATTTGATAGTTTAGTGTATAATTTCGATCTTAACATTTTATTATTATTATTTTTTCATATTTTAGTTTTTTATACATCGTAGATCTGTTAATCATCAATGATCACATACTTTTAATGTGTACATATTTAACATTGACATGCTTAGTTAAACAAGAGAGATGTACCATTAGATTTTATTAAATAAGTAAGGCATGTGAACCAAATCATAGCGAGGGCTTTGGCGAGAAGGGTGACGAGGCCACTTCTCAAGCCTGTAAGGGTTTTGTTAAAAGTCTAATTTCAATGCTAATTGGGTGGTCAAAATGCTATAAACTTCTGCATATTGATGCAAATCTAATTTTTGAGGTTCAATGAATTAATTTCTTATATGTTAGCAACAAATTTTATTTCTTTTACAAAGTTTTCAAATCATGTTTAAATGAAAAGCAAAATAGATATAAAGATAACCATATTTAAAAATAAGACATTTAATATATATCATCTCCTATAAGTGAATATTTTTTTTGTCACATGTTAATTTTTAATAAGTTTTGATACATTTTGTGATATTTTTTAAATAAATAATATCCACATGTTAATTTATGTTTTTTTTTCTTCAAAATTTAATATTAAAAGCCTTGTAATCTTATATTTATATTTGTAAAGTATAAAATGTAATAAATATTATAATAAATTGTAATTAATATGTTTTTATATTCCTTATTTCAAAATTTTATTTAAATAAATACTTATTATTTATATTTTAATATTTTATTTTCTTTAATCAATCCATATAATACATAAAGTTTTACATCTAGTTTGTATATATAAACGTAACATTATAATAATATTATCAAATTTATGATTATTTAGTTTATAAGCTTTCTTTAAATCTTAAAAGATCATTGAATTTATTATTTCTGATTAACGTAATTTTTTTTTTCAAAATTTGCAAATGATAGACTCGATTTAGAAAGAAAAACTTTAGTGATATTTTATAACTCAACGAAATTCAATATACGATCATAAAATTTAAATTAATGTCTAATTTTGACTTTAAGGAATAAAATAAAGATTAGAAGAAATCTATTTTTTTGAGATCCAAATGTTAATGATAATTTTATTTTAATGCCTAATTTTATTTTTCTAATTCCACTTTAACCCTAAAGATAAAAGTAGCAGAGACTGATCGGACGGATAATTAAGAAGCAGCGTGTAGATCGTACGGTTGGCATGATGAAAGGCTGTCAACGCCAGGTCACTCTATCTTTTCTCGTGGTCTGAATGATTCCCCCTCTTTCTCCATATACTCTCTCCCCTACCTCCCCTTTCTTTCCCATTTCCAAAAATTCAAAGCAGGAGCAAACGAGAGCTAAGGGCTAGGGTTCAACTTCCCCGGCGTCCTTCTTCTCCAGATCGGCTTCTGCTTCGTTCGATCTCCCTCGTCTTCATCTTCGATCTGTTTTTCATTCCGGTAATTCTTCAAACCCCGTTTACTTTACTTTGACTCTTGTTTTTCGTAGGTTTCTAGCAGTTGAAATCTAAATCTCGTGAATTCCTTTTCTTTTTTTGATTAATTGGTGTTATTATAGTTGTAATCATTTCAGATTACAGAAAATTCATTGTTTTTACTTGTTACTTCTCACTCCATCTGACTAGATGTCCCGGTTGCTTGATCTGATTCCGATTTCTATAGATCTGTTATCTTTGGTTCATGCTTGACGAAAAGCATGTAGCCTTTGTAATCTGAAGTTACCAGATCTGTAGGTTAATCCATTCCGATTACTGCGATCTGTGGTAGTATCCGCGATTTGCTTTAATCGTGTGCTTAGAACTGTGAAAATCCGGTTGTGATTCGTTTCGTATTTAGTTACTCCGATGTGTTTGGTTGGTGTAGTTTCATTTCGTTTTTACCATTAATTGTTGGGTTTTGAGTAGCGTTTTGACTCAGATCTCAAAACCGTAACTGTTTTCCAGATTTGGTACAATTCAGCCAAAGTCTATTCGGATAGATCTCTTCTGTGCGCAATTGAGAATAATTCATTATCTTTTACTTGTATTAGTTGTATGAACAATGAATCCAAAGATGATCTAATTACCTGTTTGCTTGCAGTCTTATAGAAAATGGCCGATACCGAGGATATTCAGCCCCTTGTTTGCGACAATGGAACTGGAATGGTGAAGGTTAGTATCATTTTCTACTTTTTACCTTATTTCCTTTCTAATTTAATCACCCTTTTCCCTTTCCCTTTTCATCTTCATTTCCAATTAATCTGATTTATTAATCAAATCCACAGGCTGGATTTGCTGGTGACGATGCACCAAGGGCAGTTTTTCCAAGTATTGTTGGTAGACCACGACATACAGGTGTCATGGTTGGCATGGGACAAAAGGATGCTTATGTAGGAGATGAAGCACAATCCAAAAGAGGTATCCTTACTCTTAAGTACCCAATCGAACACGGAATTGTCAGCAACTGGGATGACATGGAAAAGATCTGGCATCACACTTTCTACAATGAGCTTCGTGTCGCCCCTGAAGAACACCCTGTTCTTCTCACTGAAGCCCCTCTTAACCCTAAAGCCAACAGAGAAAAAATGACTCAAATCATGTTCGAAACATTCAATGTCCCTGCTATGTATGTTGCAATTCAAGCCGTTCTTTCTCTCTATGCCAGTGGTCGAACAACTGGTTAGTCTTTTATCAGTTCATCTTTCTTTATATGATTATTTATATCTTTAATTGTGAACTAATAATGGCTTGTTTGAAACAGGTATTGTGTTGGATTCTGGAGATGGTGTGTCACATACAGTTCCAATCTATGAAGGGTATGCACTTCCTCATGCTATCCTCCGTTTGGATCTTGCTGGACGTGACCTTACAGATTCTCTAATGAAGATCTTGACTGAGAGAGGTTACATGTTCACCACAACTGCTGAACGTGAAATTGTGCGTGACATGAAGGAGAAGCTTGCATATGTTGCTCTTGACTATGAACAAGAGCTTGAAACTGCTAAAAGCAGCTCTTCTGTTGAAAAGAACTATGAGTTGCCAGATGGACAAGTGATCACGATTGGAGCTGAAAGATTCCGTTGCCCTGAGGTTCTATTCCAGCCTTCTTTGATTGGAATGGAAGCTGCTGGTATTCATGAGACTACTTATAACTCCATCATGAAGTGTGATGTGGATATCAGGAAGGATCTTTATGGAAACATTGTGTTGTCTGGTGGGTCCACTATGTTCCCTGGTATTGCTGACAGGATGAGCAAAGAAATCACTGCTCTTGCTCCCAGCAGCATGAAGATTAAGGTTGTTGCTCCTCCTGAGAGAAAATACAGTGTCTGGATTGGAGGCTCCATTCTTGCTTCACTCAGCACCTTCCAACAGGTAAACAAAATTAAATCAAAAACTAACATTTTTTTTTTTTAAATCTTATTGTTTGATTTTACAATTTGTATTTTGTGTTTGATTCAGATGTGGATTTCGAAGGGTGAATATGACGAGTCTGGCCCATCCATTGTTCACAGGAAGTGCTTCTAAGTATTTGATTTTGTTGCGTTTCTGAAGGTGGAGCTTTTATTTTATTTGTTTTAGTTGGTTTTTGGGTTTTTTTTTTTTTTTTTTTTCTATTGGCCTTTTTTCGTGTTATGTTTCTATGTGAACTTTTAAAAGACTGGCAGAAAGTGGGATTTGGGGAAGCTGGGTATGGGACTGGGGATGAAGGGCGTTTTCGTCTTTTAATCTTGTGGAGCTTTTGGTGTTGGTGCCAGGGATGGATGGATGTTTGTAGTTGAAGAGTGGTTGTGATATATGTTATTATGAATTGTTTTGTTGGCAATAACTGTGTCAATATCTACTACTGTACCAAAATTTGTGTTAGAGTCAGTTTGTGGTCACATTTTATTATATCATCTATTATAAGGATTCTATTTATTGCTGTGCTTTACCAGGCTTCTTAAAGTCATAAATTCAGGTTCATGCTTTGCCTTTATATTTTAATGTAGTGGAATTGCAATATGGAGAAATCAGATGTTATATGTCACAAATTTTAAGTCGACAAATCTCACTATGTTGGTTAGCTTTTCTCGATAGTTGATTTGTGTGCATATAAAAATATCGTGAAATGAGTACAACTATATCTATATTTTAACCAATTTTTAACCATGGATATCATGCAAATGAAAGACAACAAAGAGGGTGAGCTACTTGGGATCAACTTGTTTAAAGTTTGCCTCAAGCTCGATTTTAAACTAGCTTGAGTTTAATACTAGGCTTGTTTGTCGAATGAGCTTAACCTCAAGCTTGTGTTAATAATTTTGATTAGGCTTATGAGCCCAAATATATTATAAAAATATACTTTTTTTAATATTAAAACACCATTCTATGAAATTAGGGTATACCAAGCCCGAGCTTGTATAAAATTTAATGTGCCGATCTTGAGCTCCATACTGTAAGACTTGAAACGTTCCGAACTCAAGCTCAAGTCCAAGCCCCAAAAAATTTAAACGAGCCAAGCTCAAGTTGACTTGGCTCGGCTCGTTTGCAGCCGGACAAAAATCTACAAGGAAAACTTTTACCATTAGAAAGAACGTCATAATGTTCAAGACTTCCCTATTATAACATGACATGTTTTTAACAAAAATAATTTACAAAAAATTACCAAATTTATATCTAGAATATAATGTAACGACCCAAATCTTAGGCTTTTAAAAGGTGACCAACATGCATTAAATGTCATATTTTTAGACTAGAGCTAAAGCCCTATCGGGGACTAACATTTATAAGAAGATGAGACTATATTGGAATTTGACATCACAAACTAAGTTTCGAAAGTACAGTTTGAAATGACAGAGTGTATAATTTTTCTATCTTTTGTGGGTTAAGGTTATGAGAAACCGATCTCCTGGACAACAAATTCCTATAGCACATCTCCAACAAAATCTCAAACAAAAACCAGTTGTTTGAGATGAGTTCATCCAGATGTATCCATTAAGAAATTTTTTCCAACCTCCCTGTTTACTATTACAACCTTGAAAAGGCGAATCTCGGAAAAATTACTCGTATAAAGATAGAAAGATTTCAGTTCCTATTTGTTGTCATCGGTGGATTGTAAGACTCATTTTTAATACAATACAAGTTTGCAGTCGCAGTCCGAATTTTATTAATTGTTGTTATTGATGTTCTAATAATTTGTAGATTCAAACATTTTTAAATTATTTATGGCTTGATCTTAATAGATCATGTCGCCCTAAAGGGAACTACTTATGAACCATGATATTAGAGGTTACCATGGATGAAAAACACAAAATATTGCACCTAGCCTATAGAGTATGTAAAAAAATAGAGTGGGAGTATCGTGGTCGTGATTTTTAATGAAGCTAGAGGAATGCAGTGACGAGGTTTGGATATTAGCCTTCATATCCGATATGACTAATTTGACTTAAAGTCATTAGATATATCTTCCTAAATGTATATCTGGTTTTGTTGTCGAAATTTGGTCATGAATTTACGAGTAAGGATCGGAAAAAACCGAGCAATAAAAAGTTTATTTCGGGCGACATGTTAGGCGTATAGAAGTCTGATTTTGAAGATAATTTAGGTAGCTACGTTGAGTAATTCCGAGTCAATGTGAATGGATTGACGATAGCCCGATACTAATAAAGATAAATGTGCAATGATGCTTCCTAAGAATACACTATAAAATAAAGGAGAATTCACAACGTAGCCATTTTTTCTGATTACCTATCAAAAAATAGCAAAATATTAGTAATTGTTCAAAAATAACCCACGAAACCGTAGGTAATTAGAGTGGGCTAATGTTTCGCCAAATCGTCTAGGTTTCGGGTTATATATATATATATATATATATATATATATATATATATATATATATATATATATATATATATATATATATATATATATATATAAATAATAAAAGAGAATTAATAATGTAGCAATTTTCTCTGATTACCTATAAAAAAATAGCAAAAAATTAGTAATTGTCCAAAAATAACCCACGAAATCATAGGTAATTAGAGTGAGCTAATGTTTCGTCAAATCGTCTAGGTTTCGGGTTATACACACACACACACACACACACTAGCCGTTTGCCCGCGCAAAGCGGCGGCGACGAATAGTTTCTTTCAAGCAATTAGTTCCATTCGGAGACATGTTATAGTTCTAAGAACACTTGCACCATTATCGATCGGTTTCACAAAAATAAAAAGTGCAATGCCAAAACCAAAAAATATTGTGGTGGTGGATTCCATGGAGGAAAAGGAGATGAAGATTTGAATTAGTCGCCAGTCAACTGTATTTTATGCAAAAAATTAGGGAACTCCAATTTGAATGAGCTTTTAAATTTCAAATGATTTGTCGAAAAGAAGTATTTCAGATTTCGAATGCACCAGATACCAGAGAAGAGATATTTTAGGAGTACAAGTTGGGTCAAAATTGATGAAAATACTAATTCAATCCCTAAAAATAAGGAAATACTAATTTAAATGTGTTTTTAATACTTGTATCCCTAGCATTATCATTTGTAAGATATATATTGTAATATTATTATATTAATAGTTGGTTACTTTAAGCTTAAAATCTTGAAAGTCTTAAAAAATATTATTATTATATTGATTCTATTTATAGAAATAGTAAGATTTCTTTTTATAAGGTAGTATAGATATATATAATAAAAGAAAATTAATAATGTAGCCATTTTCTATGATTACCTATCAAAAAATAGCAAAAATTAGTAATTGTCCAAAAATAGCCCACGAAACTGTAGGTAATTAGAGTGGGTTAATGTTTCGTCAAATCGTCTACGTTTCGGGTTATATATATATATATATATATATATATATATATATATATATATATATATATATATATATATATATATATATATATATATATATATATATATATAAAATCTAAAACCGTAAGTTATTTTATAACCTACGTTTCCTCTCAACTAACTACGATTTTCCAAACCGTAGTGTATGGTTCTGGGTAAAAAATCTACGGCTTTATTTTTTTTAAAATAATTGGAGAGTAGTTTTATAAAACATACTTTTTAACAAAATAATTGTCAAAAAACTACTCTACATTTTATAAACAATATTGTTTTTTATCAAAATAATCCTCAAAAACTACTCTCCATTCATTTAAAAAAAATAAAACCGTAGACTTTTTACCCAAAACCGTAAACTACGGTTTGGGAAACCATAGTTCGTCGAGAGGAAACTAGAGATCAAAATGTCGTCCCAGCAGACTGGGGTACACATCTCTGCCCATACCAGAGATCAAAATGCGGAGCACCGATGCTCGAGTGAAAACTATTGTTGTAGGAGAACTCCGCCAGAGGTAGGTAAGAGTCCCATCTTCCACCAAAATCAATGAAACAGGCCCGTAACATATCCTTAAGGGTCAGTATCGTCCGCTTAATCTGGCCGTTGGTATGCGGATGATAAGCTGTGCTGAAGTGTAACCTCGTGTCCAGTTCCCCATGGAACTGCTTCCAGAAACAGGAGGTGAACCGAACATCACGGTCTGAAACCATGGAGATCGAAACCCCATGGCGAGAAACAATCTGCGAATATACACATCAGCCAACTTCTCGGCTGAAGAACTCTCCCGAATCACCAAGAAATAGGCACTCTTGATCAATAGATCCACGATGACCCAAATATCATCAAAACCCTTTGCCGTCCTTGGCAACTTGGTGATGAAGTCCATCGAAATCTGCTCCCATTTCCACATGGGAACCTCCAGAGGTTGCAGCTTGCCATGCGGCCTCTGATGCTCGGCCTTGACCATGCTATAGTTCAAGCACCTCTCCACGTACCAAGTAATCTCCCTCTTCATACACAGCCACCAATAGCTCAATCTTAAATCCCGATACATCTTGGTGGCCCCCAGATGGATAGAAAAACGAGACTTATGAGCCTCCTCCAACACAATCTGTCTGACCCCACCAGACATAGGAACCTATACCTAACCATAATGAGTCAACAACCCATGACTATCCGGAACAAATCTAGTGATATCACCCCTGATCCTCTTAATATTCTAGTTTTCTTCCCGAACACCCTCGACCCGAGCCTCCCTAATATCCTCATACATGATACCCCATTTGAAGATCCAACCGACTTGTGGCTCAAAGCATCCTCCACCACATTCGATTTACCCATATGGTAAAGGATCTTGCAATCATAATCATTGACTATGTACAGCTACTTGCGTTGCCTCATGTTCAGGTTCGGATGATCCATAATATGCCTCAAACTCTTGTGATCCGTGTAGATGGTACATCGGAACCCATACAAATAATGCCTCCAAATCTTGTGGAAAAAAACCACTACACCTAACTCCAAATCATGTATGGGATATCTCGTCTCGTGCGAATTCAGCTTCCAGGAAGCATATGCTATCACTCGTCCTCTCTGCATGCGGACCGCCCCCAAACCAGTGATGGAAGCAACACAGACTACCACAAAATCCTCAATTCCATGGGAGGGTCCAAACCGGGGTCTCATATAATCTCTGCCGAAGGGTCTCAAATGCTGACTGCTGCTCATGTCCCCACTGGAAATCCACACCCTTCCTCGTCAGACGAGTGAGGGGTACTGCAATCTTG